TGTATTCCCTTTCTCTTCTTTTTTTCAGGCCTGAGGGCCTTCTTGAGTATTTCTTGTAGTGGGGGTCTCGTGGCCATAACTCCCTTAGCTTTTGTTTATCTGGGAGACTTACTATTTCTCCATCATATTTGAAGGATATTTTTGCTGGATAAGTATTCTTGGCTGAAAGTTTTTGTCTTTCAGTATTTTGAATATATCATTCCAGTCTCTTATAGCCTGTAAAGTTTCTGTTGAGAAATCCGCTGAGAGCCTGATGGGAGTTCCTTTGTACGTTATTTTTTGTTTTTGTCTAGCTGCCCTTAATATTGTTTCTTTGTCATTGACTCTGGCTAGCCTTACCACTAGGTGTTGTGGAGACCGCCTTTGCCTGTTGACATATTTAGGTGACCTTGATTGTTTTAAAAAATGTTTACTCCATATTTATTGTTTTGCAGCTTGCTTTTTCTCCTTAACAATATATCTGGACCATTATTGCATATAAAGATATGAGAAGTATAAAACCGTCTCATTCTTTTAACATCTGTTACATAAATTGCAGAATTCATTAACCAGTCCCATGTTAATGTCTGGATTGGTTCCATATTTTTACTGTCAAATAGTGCCACATTGAACATCTTTGTGCAAGGAACTGGAATCTTTCATTTTTTTTAAATGAGTGATATGTTAACATGGCTCAGAAGTCAAAAGTATGAAAAGATAAACAGTGAAATTTATCCCCTGCCCCCTAGTTGCCCAGTTTTGCCCCCACACACAAGTGTATAACTGCTGATACTAGTTTCTTGTGTATCTTTCCAGAGATTTATTTTTTATTCCTGAATAAGTAAATACATGTATATTCCTCTCACACATATACGGTTTTTGTTGTTGAAGAAAAGGTAGCATACTGTACACACTGATCTGGTTATTTTTTTTGCACTTTATCTTGAAGGTCTTTCCATATCCATGCAGAGCTTCTTCATTCTTTTTTATGGCTATATAGTTACCACACTGTATGGATGTACATAATTTATCTAACCAGTCCTCCATCTGTAGATATTAAAGTTGTTTCTAGTTTTTGCTAGAACAAACAGTGTTGCAGTTATATCCATATGTCATTTTGCCCCTGCAAGTTTATATGTGGGATAAATTACTAGATGTGACACTGCTGGCACTTCTGGGGCATTTGTGCATTTATAATTTGGGTATTGCCCTCCATAGAGGCTGTATGAATGGACCATCTCACCAGCAATAATGTGTTGGAATGCCTGTTTCCCTGTACCCTCTCACACAATGTGTGAAATACAACTTTGTGATTTTTTTCCAACTTGATAGGTGAAAAATACTCTACCAGTGTAGTTTTAATTGTATTTCTCTTATTATGAATGAGTTCGACCATCTTTTGGTCCATCTGAGAACCGTCTGTATAATTCTATTTCTTTGAACTCTCAGTGTGTGTTAACATTAAAATTTTTAATAGATATTACCAAAGTATAATTCACAAGCAGGAAATATATGTGAACATCCTCTCGCTCTCACCTGCATTGAATGATAAGTCATTGGCTGAGAAATTTATATTCTTGAGTCAATTTCTTTAGATAAAAATAATATAGTCAATAACCATATAATGACGGATGTTTTTAATCAAGTCTGGTTTCTGATGCTGTTTTTGGTCTTTCTTTAAAAAAACAAAATAAAAACCCAAAGGCTAAATTGATTGTCAGATACTAACAAGGGTTATTGCATTGATGTCTGAGATATTTAGCTTTTCCCAGGAAAAGGTTACCTGTTCTGGTCTTACTTATCTGAATGGTTAGTGTTTGGGGTACAGCCTGACCTCTGAGGGATTCTCTCTCTTCACACGTAAGTGCGCTGTAGAAATGCTCTGTTTTTAGAATATCTTGTACTTTAGAATTGTTTTGACTAGATCTGGACACGTACTTATTGATCCTGTCTTTGCACTGTCTTTTTCAAATAAACCAGAAACCTGATGCCACCTGATGGCAGCAGGCTTATCACCTGGCTTAGCTGTGTGTCTCCCCACGGCCTGAAGATTTCTAGAGTTGCTGTTTGCTCTAATCAAGACCAGGCACACAGCTGTATGAGCTTTCTCTCTTCTTCACCTCCACCCCAGCCTTGCTAAGCAGGGCAGAAAATATAACCATGTATTAAGCAAAAGAAATCATAATGCAGTTGTATATAGAACATGCCCTCATGTTTGAGAAGAAAAATAATTTTCTTAAACATTTGAAAAATACATGCTAGCATATTAACAGCATTTTCCCCTAAACTGGCGGATTTGAGCACTATTTTATTGACTGACTGTGTGTGTCTGCGTGTGTGCGTGCAAGCACACGCATCCTTCTTTTGCGTACCTAGAAAAGAAAGAGTTGAAAACCTTTGAAAAAAGTTTATGTCAGGGGAAGGCGGTAGCATTGTTTGTGGACGTGTGTGTAAAGACAGAACTGAAAAGACTCCCTGGCCTAAACTCAGCTCTGGCCTTGAGTCCAGGTTGAGCTTCTCTCTGGCAAAGGACCAAATTCAAAACAACATCTGGTGAAAATCTTTGTTTACCTAATGTAATATTTGTTTCCTAGTAATTTTGGAAGATGTATGTATGAAGTGGATCCTAGCATTGACACCTGAGGAGAGCTAACATTCTTAATCTTGGTGACAGAGAAATATAACTTTGAGTAGTGTGTATCATCTTTAGGGAAACTCCATAAAGAGTTAATGAGGTCCCAAGATATTTAAAATTCTTAGTCAGAACTCTTAAACTGGGCCAGCCCTGTGGCTTAGTGGTTAAGTGCACGCATTCCACTGCTGGCGGCCCGGGTTCGGATCCCAGGCGTGCACCGACACACCGCTTCTCCGGCCATGCTGAGGCCGCGTCCCACATACAGCAACTAGAAGGATGTGCAGCTATGACATACAGCTATCTACTGGGGCTTTGGGGGAAAAAAAATAAATAAAATTATTTTTTAAAAAACTCTTAAACTTTTGACAAGGTCTGAGCATGTTTGTTTCTTAAGGTAAAGCAGACTTCTTTCCATAGTCTAAATACATTTTTAAAATTCGTAATGAATGGCATTGTAGAGTATAATTTTTATTGAAGACTAAGAAGGAAATGGCAGTTCATGGGGTACAAATCCAAAGACCTCCAGTTGAGTCCCTCTTTGCTTACCTGTACACATTGCCCTTTTTAATTTTTTCTAACTTTGAAAAGATCCCTCGTGGGGCTGGCCTGGTATCATAGTGGTTAAGTTCACATGCTCTGCTTTGGCCAGCCAAGGATTAGCAAGTTCAGATCCCAGGCATGGACCTACGCCCTGCTCATCAAGCCATGCTGTGGCAGCGTCCCACAAATAAAGTAGAGGAAAATGGGCACAGATGTTAGCCCAGGGCCAATCTTCCTCAGCAAAAATGTTAGCTCAGGGTTAATCTTCCCCAAACAAACAAACAAAAAAAAAGGATTCCTCATACCTTCTATTCCTTGCCAATGGGTAAGTTTCAAATATGTAAGATTAATAATTTTACATTTCTTAAAGGTGAAAATCCTTAAAATATAAATTTTAAAAGAGGTTTTCTGGATTCCATGAATTCAGAGGGTAGAAGGAATCTGTTCTGATAGTCTTGCAGCTGTTAGTAATAATATATTGCTGAATTGTTTACTTCTCGTTTTCTTTTCTACAGTGACTGAAGCAAGGCTGTGTGACATTCCATGTTGGAGGAAAAAGTAAAAAACAAAATTGAATGCTCTAAGCTGGAACATAGGATCTATAGCCTTGTCTATGGCCCAACACCTTGGCCTTGTGTACACGAAGGAAGAAGTATTGCAATAGCAAAGCCGAACGTCTAACACTAGCTGTCTCCTGCTAGATCTCCTCGCTCAGCATTTACCTATAAATACATGTACAATGACATGTATATGGCTATATTTTTATTTGCTTGCTCCTAGAAGAGAAAAAAATCAACTTTGAATCACAACTAGGAATTGATGCTTTAATTTTTGGAAACTTTTTCAGAATTTTTAATTTACTGTGGTCAGGCCTAAGATCCTCAGTTGTATCAGGTTTTGTGCACAAAAGAAAAGCACAAAAGTTGAACGCACATGGGGCCTGTGCTTTCTGTGCACCAAATATCTGGATGGGGGTCTTTTTTCAGGCCTACAGTCAAATCTGTGTCCTGAATTTTTTGACTTTTTTGCTTTGTATAATCATAGAATTCATTGCTGCTGATTTCTCTACTGATTGGTGTTGTCGTGTAAAGTGTCTCAGTGACAGGGCTGTCCATCACCTGCGAGTTCGCCTTTTCTATAGTCTTACTCCGATGAAGAGCCTTGGTTCTGATGGAGAAAGAGTGAAAAGCTGTATTTTTTCCCCAGATATCTTTACATTTCTGTTGTCTTTTTAGTTGTGTACTGTGTACTACAGATTCTTTTCAGTTTGTTACAAACACAATTTAGTAATTCCTTAATTGGTTTTGCCTGCCTCCAAACAGAAACATCTGTACACATCTTGTGGGTATAAATTACTTTCTGGTAAAATGGTTAGGATAAAATGAGCTCATATGTTCCTGAAATTTATAAGAGGACATATGGTATTACTTGTTAAAGCAAATCAAACTGTTTGACATCTGAGTCAATATTTCTAGTATTCATAACAGGTATGTTCATTAGTTCTTCTCATTTGGGTCAGTTTAAAAGCTATGTTGTAAGATATGCATAGAAAATGTGACCAGTGCACCTGTCTCCCTCTTTATCAGAAACTGCAGCAGAGCAGTAAAGGATTCCATGTGATTCAAACTGAAATTCTTTCTTTAGTTGCATTAAGAACTTAAATGTAAAATACCTTTTCTAGTTTTAGGCCTCTGTGAAAAACCTTGAAGCGTGGAGCTGAGGTAAGAAATGGTACTCATTGAAGTAGAAATGACTGCCCGCTTTAAAATCTTCGTTTTGTTTATACACATATGTGCTTACAGAAATCAGAGGCATTTGGTAGACACTTTGCTGACTTGCACATCTCTGTAGAAACACAGAAATCAGATGAATTTTGTAAAGCAGAAAGTCATGTCACATGGACCATGTCCTGTATATATTTCGTACATGGTAATGGGGTCTTAATGATAAATGCAAGGTGATAATTTAATGATGGGATTAGTCTGATCACTTATGCACAATCCTGGAAGTGAATTACTTGCATCAGATATAGTGGTATTTATTATTCTGTACAGAGAGAAAAATACGTATAAAACATATGCTTACATTACATGCACGCAGATTTCATGCTCCATAAATCTTTTCTATTTTTTAATTTGCCGTTCTCTAAATGATGTGCATGGAATATGCCTTATTTCAGAAAAATGCTGTTCATAATTTGACTACATGGAGAAGTGCCTATATGGTGGTAATGCTAGTAAGGCAAATAAGACAAATTATCATATCAGTTTACTACATCACCAGTTAACATTTTATATTGTGACGTTTAAAAAAGAAAAGTTTATACCTCAAATGTGTACTTTATTTTACAATCAGCTGTGGCGTTGGGATGGGAGTATGGGAGGGTTGGGAGAGGAAGGTTTATTTACCATAGCCGCTGTGAGAGGAATCTTCAAAAAAATTCTCTATGCCCACTATAAATGTTTCTCTGTTTGCCGTTTCTGGTAACTATCATGAACACAGACAAGTAACTTTCATAACTGAATTGGATAGCTTTATTTTACAAAGATATGGAAAGTTTACAAAGCAGTATCTAAATCTAATTATCATAAGTTTCATTTGCACTAAATGTTAATGATAGACTTTTGCAATTGTGTAAATAAAATGATTACACTAAAAATATTTGTATTAAAAAAGAAAAGAAAAAGATGCGTTTTACCTTTAGATAACTGCACTGGTACTTCACTGAAGTTAATTCCGTCCAACCAGGGTTAGAAATGAGTTGGGGAATATGAAAAAAGTTTAAAAGAGGTCAGATTTGGAGAGGTACTAGCCATTTAGACAATATCCAGACCCTCTAGAATTATTTCCATATGGCTAATTCCTGTATACAAATATACACAATGCTTTCTCATCCACGGTTATTTCCTATTTCTCTTCCCCAAGCAAAAAAAAAAAATGCTATCCTTTCACTCTCTTGTCTTCTCAGTTACTCTCTTGTACTGTGATGGAAACTTGAAAAATACTGGTGATGAGGGGTTTTGTCCCTGAGTGCCCACTGTACAGTTCAAGAGAGCACAGTATTTCACTTGGAATTCAGGAATCCTGATGTGGAGGTGGAGCGTGATCCTAGCAGCTCCTGGTTTGGGATCGCCCTAGGGACAGCCAGACCAAGGAGCGGGTGGCTGGGAGCGAGGTGTAAGAATACAGAATAAGGAAAGGAGGAATGCGTTCCTATTTGTTCCGTTCCATCAGCTCACGTGTACACCTGTACAACATCAGTGTCAGTTGCTATTGAGAAAACTTTAGTTGGGCTGAGCTGGTTCTCCTGTGAAATTGTGCTGGTTATCTTTAAGCTTATCAGTTTTTGTCCAATTAAACACTTTCACCAGTATTTAGTCCAAGTTGTACAGACGATGTATTTGGATTATTGTCATTGTTCATCTATGAACTCAACACATAATCATTTTAAAGTACCCTGGGAGTGTGTAGAGTGTAACTCTTCTATAATAGCTTTATGATCCTGATGATGTTTTTAAAAAATAATAAAGTTGGATCTTCCATGTTACAATCACAAAATTAAAACCAGTATTTAAAAATGGAAAAGTATTAAAATATTATGGACTACTGTACTTGCTTGATTGTTTTCCTTAACCCCAAGATACTGCACTACAAATTCTCTGAGTAGTTAAGAGCGTGAAGTACTCTGGTTCAGTGTTCTTCAAACTATAGGTTGTAACCCAGTTAGGGATCAAGAAAACTAATGAGTTTCTACCTGAATTTTTTTTTAACAAAATAGATCAGAATGGTATAGATCAAGTACATAGTGTGTAATAAACATAAATATTTTTAAATCTTTTTTCATATGTGTACATATACATGTGTGTAGTGGATTACAATTTAAAATGAATTTCTTACTATGGATCCTGGTCCAAAAGTTTTTTTTAGTTGCTAGAGAGTGGAGCCATATTCAGTTGGATATCTGTAAAATGAAAGCACAGTGCCTGTAAGTCATACACACTTAGAATTCACCTTAGAATATGCATTTGGCCAGAGATGAATCCTCTCCCATTTATTCCTTTAAATAATATGGCTAGCCCCCTTGTTCCGCTTGGGCCTAGAATAGCCGTTAGACCAGAAGTGTGGGTGTGCAGTTCCCTCCCTCGGTGGGTTCCTCCCTGGTTGGACTGAAAGGCACTGAGCCTGTTTCTCTCCTAGTGTTCAGAGAGACTACTGTCCAAACAAAATGATCTCTAAACACACGCCAACTGCTTAATCTGGGGAGACACTGGAGAGAAAATCTGGCTGATGTGTTGGATTTATTGACAAACTGTATGTAGTTCTCATGGCACGTTTCTAAGGAGTTTTCAAGACCGATTTTAATTTTAATTCAGTTTTTGCCTTAGGCTTGACTTTGGAACATAACCTTCAAATAAGATGTTGTTCTAACTAGCTATTTCAAATCGAGTTGTTTTTACAGTATCTTCCGAGTTTTTTTGCCCTTGTCTGAGCTAGATTGCAACAGGTCTCATACTTATTAGCGTTTGTTTTGTTTGCCCATGGAAACAAATCTGTGAAGCCTCACGTCTGTATACTTTGAATAGCCTTAAACAAATATAAGGTTAAACTTCATTTGGCCTCTTTGTTCTGTTCTCTTGCACAGAATTCTCTGAGTTTAGTACTAGAACAAATCTTAAAGATCTTTGAATTTACTAAAAAAATGCCCAACCAGGATTTTTTTTTTTCTTTTTTTTTTTTTTTGGTGAGGAATATTGGCCTTGAGCTAACATCTGTTGCCAATCCTCCTCTTTATTGCTGAGGAAGACTGGCCCTGGGCTAACACCCGTGCCCATCTTCCTCTACTTTATATGTGGGATGCTGCCACAGCACGGCTTGATAAGCAGTGTGTAGGTCCCCACCCGGGATCTGAACCTGGGAACCCTGGGCCGCCAAAGCGGAGCACGCAAACTTAACCACTACGCCACTGGGCCAGCCTCCAACCAGGATTTTCTTATCACCCAAGCTGTGTGACTATTGAGATGCTGAATGAGGATGTCTCCATTAAGTGTGTACCTCGTGCCCTGCCTGCGTTTTATCTGACTTATCTGCTTACCACAATGCTGGTGCCACCCCTGTTTTACAGGTAGGGAAAGGCCAGGCTTCCAGGCCTGCTGAAGGACTCTCGAGTCCTTTCTTTCCATTAGGCTCTGCTGCTTTTTAATGCCTTATGTATTTACTATCTAGAATACAGTGTTGGACAGACTAGGAAGAGCTGACATGCTTGAAGACAAGCACTTTTGGGGTATGGGTCTTAACACCACACACTTCATATTGGCTTCACAAAATCCCAAATACCTGTGTGTCATAAAATGCCACCAGATATATAAATTTTACTTTAAATAAAGGTGGAATTCGGCCATCATTTGGTGCCTCAACTGCCTTCTTGTTCTCCAGCTCAGAGGGATGAAACACGGATCTCTGCCGTAAACCACCACCACGAACAAGCCCAGGGAGGGTATTTTATCTCCAACTTTTCAGCCCAGGGACGAGCTCCGACAGAGCTCTCACTGTTTTGTGAGCCGCGTGTTGCCGAATGACCACTATGGCAGTGACTGAAGCAAGCTCTGGGTCCGCCCTGGTCAGTTTACTGTGGTTCCTCTGTATTACTAGTCCTTGGAACTGGAAGGCCGAAGTGGCAGCCAGGAATCGTGTGTGGCAGCTAAATCAAGATGCAGTCAACCTCCAAACCATTTTCACAATGTGGATAGAGGGCACAATTCTCCAGCACCTAGAACAATTCCCAGAGCAAAGATTTATTGAGCACCTAATGCACGCCATGCAGTGCTCCGGGATTGGGGATATAAACAGCAATAAACAGAACATTTGGCCCTCGTTTTTGTCATAATCAAGCTTTTTAGAAATGTGTCTAAACTGAGGAAATAGGCTTTGACATCAGGGGCATGTGAATAAGGTGCATTGAACAATGGGCTTAGCCACATGTGATATGTGCAAAAGTCTTTTGATTCTTGGTTTTGTTTTTCTCAAAAGTGGATAGGAAATGGCTTGTCGCTGTGTTTTAACAAGTTTGCCAATTTCTCTGCATGTTGATAGCCCCAAATTAATTGCTAAGCTGTTCTACTCTGCTGATTTTTCATTTTAATTTAAAACCGCAGTTTAATTTTCGGTTTGTGACTTTGACTTTTCATTCCTAACATCCGATAGATTTTTGTTATTTGTAAGTGAATTTCTCTCCTT